GGCCCGGGGCGTGTCCGTGTCTGGGGGTGCGCGAGGTGGGGGCCTGGGCCGGGCTTGGGGAGGTGCTGCTGGGGGCGGGGCCCCCACCAGGTCAGGCTCCTGCACCTAGGGCCTGGGTAGGCCTGGGGGGCGGGGGCGGCCTTGGAGGCCCCCGAGACAGCGCAGCTTCCCCGCAGGAGCCGCCGGAGCCCGGCCACCATGACCGAATACAAGCTGGTGGTCGTGGGTGCGGGGGGCGTGGGCAAGAGCGCGCTCACCATCCAGCTCATTCAGAATCACTTCGTGGATGAGTACGACCCCACGATCGAGGTGAGCGCGCTATGGGCCCCCGCTGAGCTCTCCCTCTGGTACACCCGCCCCAGAACCCAGGACCCTGGACGGCGCCCCCTTACACCTTAGGACGCTGGATGCACATCCCGGGACACACACACACACACACACACACACCCCCACCCACCCCAGGATCCTGGATGCCATTCTCCCACCCCCTAGGAGCCTGGACAGCGCCCTACCCTCACCCCAGGACCCTGAACTATGACCTCCTCTCCCCCCCACCCCATACCCTTCAGAGTCACTCCTATCACCAGAACGAGGCTCCCAGCAGCTTTTCCCAGGAGGTCCCTCCCTGGCAGGGAGGCTGCTGAGACCTGGGGTTCAGGACTCTTGGGTCCCCTGCCTTGACTTCCCTCCTCCTCCCTCTCCAGGACTCATACAGGAAGCAAGTAGTCATTGACGGGGAGACCTGTCTGTTGGACATCTTGGACACTGCAGGCCAGGAGGAGTACAGTGCCATGAGGGACCAGTACATGCGCACGGGGGAGGGTTTTCTCTGTGTATTCGCCATTAACAACACCAAGTCCTTCGAGGACATTCACCAGTACAGGTGAGCCCCCCAGCCCCACCGGGCCCTCCCCAGCTCTGCCCTGCCCTGCCCGGCCCGTCGGCCAGCGCCTGCTTCTCTCCTCCCACGCAGGGAGCAGATTAAGCGAGTGAAGGACTCAGACGACGTGCCCATGGTGTTAGTGGGGAACAAATGTGACCTGCCAGCCCGGACAGTGGAGACACGCCAGGCACACGAGCTGGCCCGAAGCTACGGGATCCCCTACATCGAGACGTCCGCCAAAACTCGCCAGGTGAGGGCATCCCGCCTGCTGCCCCACCTGCCTTCGGGGGCAGGTACAGGCAGACATTCCTCACTGAAAGGCCAGGCCCAGGGTCCCGAGGCCACAGGCTGCCAGCTCTGGATTGAACCTAGATCCTTGGGAGATCTGGGTCCAGGTGACCCCTGATCTGATATGAGCCCATGTGCAAGGTGACCCTGGGTGGGAAAGGAGCTCGCGTCTGGGCTGAACCTAGGCCCTGGCTGAGCTGGGTGGGAGGGGAGCCCAAGGCCGGGATCCTGGCTGAGCCGCCCTGCCCTCTCCCTCTCCGCAGGGGGTAGAGGATGCTTTCTACACACTGGTGCGGGAAATCCGGCAGCACAAACTGCGGAAGCTGAACCCCCCGGACGAGAGCGGCCCGGGGTGTCTGAACTGCAAGTGTGTGATCTCCTGACCGCGGGGGTTGAGGTGAGGCCTGGGAGGGTGTGGGCGGGGCTGAGGGGGTGGGGCGGGGCTTACAGCAGGGACCCTTCTTTCTCTTTCCCCGCCCCCCCCCACCGCTGGCTCTGTCCTGACTTTGCCTTCTGCTCCCGGCCCAGGCTGGGGGTTCGGAGGTGCAGGACCCGAGTGAGGGAGGGAGGAGCCAGTGGACGGAGGAACGGATGGAGCATGGTGGCCGGACTGACGGACGGTCAGTTGGAAGGAAGGAAGGAAGACAGTGGCGGCCGCCCTTTGACGCTGCTGCTGCTGCTGCTGCTGCTGCTAGAGTTCCTGGTCCTGCTGGGAGGGCCAGACAGGGCGCCTCTGATCCCCCCGAAGGCTTTTTGCACGGACTGTCTCCAACTCCTCGGCCCCAAACTGCTTCCTCTGCCCCCCCTGCCCCTCTGCCCGACCCACAGGGCTCATTTCAGTAAATTATTGGATGGTCTTGACCTTGGTGTGGCTGTGGGGGGAGGGGGGGTAAAGAAACCACTTGAAGCATGCAACACAGCCCTTGACCCTCTAGCCTAGCCAGATCAATGGGGGGTGGGGGCGCTCTAGCCCCTGGTTTTTGCCTGGGGAGCCTGGCTCACTGGCTGGGCCCTGGACTCTGAGCTCAGGGGTCCCTTGAGGGCTGGCCCCAACCAGGGCGGGGCCAGGGCTGCCTTCTGCTGCCCTCGGGGGAGGCTTCAGGAATAAGTAACACCACAGAGAGTCAGAGGGTCCTTGGTGTAGACACCTTTACTGTCTGCCATGTCTGCCCGTCTTCTTGGGGGCCAGCCTGACATCCCCTTCCCCTCTGGCCCCGGCTCGGACCACCAGTTTGTGTCCATTCAGATCCTCTTCTCTAACAGACCCTGTGCGGTTCACCCTGTGGCAGAGAGCCCTGGCCTCTCTGGATAGGTTTGGGGCGCTTGGGCCCTGCCCTGCGTTTCCAGGCCCCCTTGCCTCCCATCCAGGGCCTGTGAAGCCTGGCCGGTACCCCAGGGAGCAGAGCATCCCTTAAAATGGCCCTGGGGTAAGCCCCATCTTACAACTGCCCTGTCTGCAAGGGGCCATCTCTGTGGGAGACTCTCTGGGATGGCCTGGGGGCGGCAGGGGACCAGCTCCTCCCTGGAGCCTCTGCACCCTCCCCACTGAAGCACCGTGGGCCCCTGGCCCTGAGTCCTTGCTGACCTGGGCCCTGCACAGTCTGGTGCCGCTCCTGAAGAGGCCACAGGGGATCGTGCCCAGAGACATGGAGGAGCGTGCAGGAGGGCTGAGGCTGGGCATGCTGGCCCAGTGCCTGGGCAGGAGGCCACTGCCTGGCCCCAGCCCCTCAGCCTCCTCAGGAACACTATGGGGCTGGGGAGGCCCACTCCTGGGCCCCTGGTTGAGCAGGCCAGGCTGATCAGAGGTGCGGGGAGGGGGAGGGGGAGGGGGAGGGGGGGGGGCCGGCGGGATAGGCGTTCTCATCAGGGACACTCTCCAGAGGCAGCAGCTCTTCAGGGGATGGGGGTGGAGGGAACAGGGCTGCATCCAACTCTGAGGGGACACCCCCTCCTGGCCACCCCTCTTCAGGGGAGGCTGGGGCATTGTGGTCCAGGCCTGGGGGCTGGGCCTCAGCCTCTCGCTGCAGAGGAGAGAAGGGTGGAGGCCTGGGCCTCAGACAGGCCTTGTCCAGGTCCTGGCTGACCTGAGGGGGGTCCCGTTCTGAGCTGCCCAGCGGCTGGGGCTCCTGGGGCTGGGGAGAGGGCCCATCTTCTAGGAGCGAAGTCTGCTGACTAGGCATCTCCCGGCTTGGGGAGGGGCTCCTGGCAGGAGCTGCCTTGCCCTGCCCATTGATCACCAGGCCCAGGGAGAACTCCACTCCCAGAGGCTTCTTGGGGAGCTCTTCCAGTTTGGCTTCAAGGCAAGCAAGACAGTGGACATTTAGACCTAGTCTGGGAGCCCCAGGACTGCCCTCCCTGACAGGTGTGGCAGGTGGACTGGGGCCCAGAGAGGGGAGAGTCAGACTGCCTCATCTAGTGTTTGTGTCTGCCTGCCTGTGACCTGCCCCCCAGGAAGAGGAGAAGGAAAAAGGTTCCTGCCTGACCAGGCCGTCTCCTGCATGGGCTCTGACGGCCTGGTCCCCTCTCGAAAGTGCAAGAGTGTCCCAGCCTCCAGCCCCCATCCCCAAGCCCACCTGGGGGTGGCAGCTCGCATTTCATCCTGCGCAGTTCTGCCATTGATGCCTGCAAATGATCCAATACGCTGTCATCTTCATGGGGCCAGGGGCCGGCCAACTTCTCCTGCAGAAATTCTCTGAGATCCTCCAGGGACATCTTGAGCAGGCGTTCTGGAGGTCCAAGAGTGGGGTGGGAGGCCAGGTGGTGAGCCCCCTGCCCACAGGCTCCCTCTGCTCCCTTCCTGGCATCTGAGTCCCAGGCTCCTGGGCCGAGCCTGAGGCTAGTTCTCCCATCTCCTCCTTTACCCACCTGAAAATCCATTCTCTCCCCCAATCCCTCCACCCCAAGTCCGGGGAGGGGGTCCTTACTCCTGTGCAGCTTGAGAACTGTATAGGCCATAGCGGTGAGAACCCGCTCGCCCTCCAAGATGTACACATCCCACAGGCGCAGGGTGAGGGTGAATGGGGTCTGTGGAAGAGAGGCCAGGCTGAGAGGGTGCCCCGAGAGGGCGACACCATGCCTAGCAAAGCCAGAGCCCAGAGCAGGCCTGGGCTGACCTGACGTTCTCACCCGGTCAATGAAACACTGCAGGAACCACTTGGTGGTGTAAATGCCCGTGGACATCTGCTCTTTGTCCTGAAGGGAGACGATGGAGATGGTGGGGTCATTTTTACGCTGGCTGGCAGGCAGCTCCCCTGTGCCCACATGTGCAGCCACCCCGTGCCCGCTGCTGCTGAGCTCACCATGTGTTTTTTCAGCTTGGGCAAGGCCTTCCCAAGGATCTGCTCGTGGTGGTCTTGGAAGCGCTGCAGCTTGGGGAATCCAGGCATGAAGAAGCCTGTGGGGAGCCCGCCCAGGGCAGAGGGCTCAGCAGCAGCCTGGGGAGAAAGCCCAGGAGCCCCCTCTGGTTCACCCCCTGCCCACGCAGGGCGAGCCCCTGGGTGTGTCCCTCTGTGGGGGCCCCATCTATCTCAGGCAGTGCCAGCTGTCTTAGGATGAGCGGCGGCCCTTCCAGCCCACGGAAGGCTCTGGCCAGGGACTCGGGCAAGTCCCTTCCCCCTGCAGCCTCGATGCTCTCATCTGTAGCATGGAGCTAATTCCTAACCTGCCTTGGCCTCTGAGCTGTGGGGAAGCCAGGGAAACGAGGGGTGGGGTGTGACTTCCTGGCTCTGTTTCCAGCAGCTGTGGGGCTGGGGATCCACCCCCCTCCCCCCCCGGGGAGGAGGGGGGTGGGGGGTCAGGCGCTCACCATGCATCGCGTGCCTCTGGTTGGCCAGCAGCTGGGCCAGTGCCCAGAAGGCTTCCTCTTCATTCAGGTACATCAGCAGGATGGCGGCGATCTGACTCATGCCCTGGCAATAGCTAACCTCCTGCAGGGGGCGCCCATCCGCCCAGACACACAGACACACACACAGATGACAGTGTGTATGGGGACCATCTCCCCTCCACAGGCTGTCAGGCTGGGAGGAAGCCTCCGCCTCAGGGCTTCAGCTAAGTCCTGGGTGTGCAAGGTGGAAACTGGCTCCCTGCCTAGGTCTGGACTTGGGCCCCAGTGTGCATCTCCCCCAGGATCACAGAGTGGAATCCCCAGGGGCTGCTGGCACTGAGGCAGGGGCCCATTATGGGCTCCCAGGGCCTGGGCAGGGGCCAGGCCTGCTCTGGGAAGAGCCCAGGCAGACTGAGGCACGTGGGAGGCTGAGCGGCTGAGAGGATGCTAGCAGAAAGCCAGCAGGCCCGGCCTGCCCCGGCTGGTCAAGACTTGGGCTGCCACAAGCACAATTAGGGTTAGGGTGCAGGCCCTGGCCTGCAGCGCACACTCATGCCCGCCCACCTGCCCACTGGTCCAACCACAGGCAGAAGCTCACAGTCTCACCGTGTTGTAGACAGAGTAGGCAGACAGGACATGGAACAGGGCTTGCTGCCTGGGGAGAGAGAAGGGATCCTTGACCACACTGGCCACTCGGTACTAAGGGAATTGGCCCCCTCGCCCGTCCTCTGGACTTCCGAGACTGTTCTCCTCACTGACACCTGGCTGTCAGAGGAAGGCAGCCAGCAGGTACCGAGACCACAGCCCACAGAGAGAGGAGGCTCCGGGGACGCCCCAAACAGTCAGGGGATGGGGCGCGGGAGGACCCGGCTGAGGCCAAAGCCACCCCTCTCTTCCTGATCAGCCTCAGCACCCTTCTGCACTGGTTCCCACCCACAGGGTCACTCACTTCACTCCGTAGCGGTCCCGAAACATGATATGATTGCGAAATGTACGGTTGATGTCCAGATCGATCTGTCTGATCTCAGAAGAGAAGCTCTGGGCTTTCTCCTTCATCTCCTGAGGGGGGAGGTGGCAGCATGTCAGAACCAAGCAAAGGGAGGAAAGACAGCCTCAGGAGAGGCCCTGGGCTGGACCCCCAGAACCTGCCCCATCCCCAGTCACGGAACAGAGCCAGTGTGGGACCCTTGCCTGGCCTTCCCCCTGCCAGGGTCTACCTGAGGACAAAGTCCAACACAGAAGACCTGAGGTTGTGGCCAGGGGGGCCCAGATACTCTGCGGCCAGCACAGTCCCTTTGACCTAACCCTAAAGGCATGCTGGCAGCCCTGGGAAGGGGGCCACCGAGGCCCAATACAGGCCAGGCAGCAGAGGCCCCACTCCCTGGGTGGTAAGCCTGACTGGGACAGTCTCTTCCCCTCTGCCTAGTGCACTGTCCTGCCCTGTACCCGGGTGCCTGCTCTCACCAGCACCCCAGGCTGGCTGTGAGTTCTTGGGGTGTCTGGCCTTGGCTGAGACCTGAGGAATTCTGCCCCAGCTCTAGGGTTGGCCCCCCCGCCTACCTCTTACCCCAGCCCGCAGTCTGGGGGGACCACTCTCTCCCCATCCAGGGTGTGGTCATGGGCTGCCCTCCTTCCCTTCCTTGTCACCATCCTTGGTGACCAACAGAAGCAATAGCTCGAGCCCCACTGGAGACAGGGATCCCGGGCCGGGGTGGAGGGGGGGTGGTGTACTTTTCTGCTGACGGGACCTCAGGCACCTGGGAGGTGCTTAGAAATCTCACCTCCCTCACATATCCCAAAGAGGGCTCAGACTAATGGATCTTTTCAGAGTCCTTTTAGAAATGGTTCCCTTCCAGCTCTGGATCCTGGATCCTGATGTTGAGGCTCCCAGGAGAGCAGCCCCCTATCAAACACCTGCCCTTTCGCTGCCCCACCTGACAGGGCCACTGCCATCGGGGCTTTGCCTATCCCACTCAACAAACCCAGCACATCCTCAGGTCCTCTCAGCGTCCCCTCCAAGCACATGCCTTCAGGCACCCTTGCCCACTCCCTGCGACTGCCTACTTTGTTCTCCAACCAGATCTTTCCATCTCTTCCCCTGTGTTCCCCACCACTACCTGGAAGGCTACTTCTGCTTACTCCTTGGCTCAAAAGTCTTCAGGGGCTCCCTACTGACTCTGAGCAAGTTCAGGCTGCCCTGTGGAAAGCATTCGGCCGCTTGCCACCTTACCCTTCTAGCTTTGCTTCTTTTTCACTTTTAATGTTTTTGTTATATCCCTTCCTCCCCATCCCACACTAGAGAAGGCCACCATTTGACACAGAGTTATGAATAGATGTGAAGCCATTCTATGCATGCTTCTATGTATCAGTTATTTCTTTGCAGGTGAACAGCATCGTCCTTCATGGGTCCTTTGTACTTGATTTGACTACGCATAATACTCAGAAGAATTTGGTTGTTCATAATTTTTCTTTGAACAGGATTGCTGTTATTGTACCCCATGTTCTCTTGGTTCTGCTCATTTCCCTCTTCATTATTTCGTGCAAATCTATCCATGTTTTTCTAAGGTCATTGAGCGCATCATTTCTTACAGTACAGCAGTATTCCATCACAACCATATACCACGACTTGTTCAGCCATTCCCCAGCTGACAGCATCCCTGCCATTTCCAGGGATAAAGAAAGCTGCTATAAACATTTTAGAACATATGGGTTCTTTTCCTTTTTCCCTAATCATCTTTGGAAACAGAGCTAGTAGTGGTATTGCTGGATCAAAGGGCATAGGCAGTTTAAGAACTCTTTGGGCATAATTTCAGATTGCTCTCCAAAATGGGTGGATCAGTTCACAGTTCCACCAACAGTGTATTAGTATCTCAACTTTCCCACATCCCCTCCAACATTTGTTGTTTTCCCTTTCAATCATTTTAGCCAATCTGATTGGTGTGAGATGATATCTCAAGGTTGTTTTAATTTGCATTTCTTTAATCAATAATGATTTAGAGCATTTTTATGTGACTATATATAGTTTTGATTTCATCAAAAAACTGCCTGTTCATATCCTTTGACTATATATCAATTGGGGAATGACTCATATTCTTATAGATCTGACCAAGTTCTCTACATTTTTGAGATATGAGGCCATTATCTGAGAAAGTGTTCCTGAAATTTCCCCCCAATTTTCTGCTTTTCTTCTGGTCTTGGTTACATTGGTTTTATTTGTATAAACCCTTTTTAAATTAATGTAATTGAGACTATCCATTTTGCATCCCACAGTGCTCTCTATCTCTTGTTTATTCATAAATTGTTCGCCTATCCGTATGTCTGAGAGGTAATGTGTTCCATGTTCTTCTCCTTTTCTTAGGATATCTCCCTTTATGTCTAGGTCATGGATCCATTTTGACCTGATCTTGGTAATTTGTTTCTTATTACATCTCTCCCTCCCATGCTCTCCTCTCCAGTCGTATTGGTTGCTCTCTCAGCCCTGGTCTGCCCCCACCCCAAGTGGAGACCTTTGTTCAGACTAGGTGCCTCCTAACTGTGGGGAGATGAAGTTGGCTTCCACTGGACAGAATCCATGCCCAGTCTTCTGCTTGGGCAGTCTCCTGGGCCAGCCCTGCCCATCCTTCCAATCCCAGCTGCAGACACTGCCTCCAGGAAGCCATCCCTGAGCTCTCATTTAGCCCTTCTCTAATATGACTCCCTGGGTCTCTCTTCCCAACCCTTAGGCTAAAGTCTAAGCTCAACTCTGGTCCTCCCCCCACCCCCTTTGGCCCCAGATACACAGTAGGTGCTTGAGAAAGACTTGTTGAATGTTGACTGATTGAGGGTGACTCCCTTACCTGGAGGGTGCCGTTAGTACAACACTGGGGACTGGGGGGGGAGGGGCTGGGCTGGGACCTGCTAGGCCAGGACAGAGGAGGGGGTGAGTTCTATAGCTGGGGCCCTGAGGTGGGTGGACTCTGTGTGAGTCTACCACTAACTCGATGTGTGTAACCTGGGCAGGTTGCTTGGCCTCTGTACCTGTTCCCTCATCGGGATAAAGGGGATAATAACTGTGCACTCCCCACCTTCCAGGGTGGTAGGAGGGAGGGAAGGGGGGAAGCATTTATTAAGCATCTACTATGTGCCAGGCACCACAGTAAGCACTTGACAAATATCTCATTTAATCCTCATAACAAACCTGGGAGGGAGGGGCTGTTCCTGTCCCCATTTTACAGTTGAGGAAGTTGGTGACTTGCCCAGGTGGGAAGGAATACTGGGGCTTCCTCAGCATCTGAGAGGATGGTCGGGGGTAGGGGGAACTCCTGGGGGCTTAGCCCAGAGGAGGTCTGGGGAGGCCTGAGAAGGCCCAGGGCAGAGGTCAGGCCAGATAGTACCTGGGCTGGGAGTTGCAGGCTGGGGTCTGTCCTCTGAGCCCAGCCTTGTTCACAGGGCCCGCAGGCCAGCTGGGAAGGTGGCCTCCAATCCTGAAGTCCACAAATGTGACCTCCAGCCCAGCCCATGCCAGATGACAGAGACCATGAGGGTCATAGGGGGCAAAAGCTGGCAAAGGTCCCAGGGCTAGGAGAGCCTCCTACCTCATACTTGCCAGGGTTTTCTGTCTTCACCTTCTCCACTTCCAGGAGGAGGGACCAAGCTTGGCCCCGTACCTGCAGGGGGATGCCCTTGTAGACCCTTCGAGCCATCTGAGGGGTGAGAGGAAGGCAGGCTGAGGGAGGGCATTGGCCTTGGCACTGGCACCCACCTACCAAGCAGTCCCACACAGAAGGACAAAAGCCCTGGTTCCCCCACCCCCAAAAGGAGGGCTCTACCACCAGCCTGCACAGGACGCAGGCACAGGACCCCGCCCCTCCTTTCCCCTTGTATCTAATCCTCATTTGGACTCCACCTCCTCCAGGGAGCCCCCTGCTTCACAGCCTCCCTACTGGTCAGTCTGCTCTCTGGAACATCCTGATGTACTCTCTCCTCCACCACAGGCCAGTGTTTGCCACCCACATCCATTCACACATTCACCCATCCACATATACACCCCCAAACTCATACACTCAGCTACATCCCCATTTACACAGATACCCCCCCATGAATACATCCATACCCACACCTATCCCCCCCAAGACACCCCAGTGTGTGAGGCCTTTTCCAAGCATTCCTTCTCTGTCCCCAGCACCCAGTGCAGGGCTCTAGGACTCATCACATAGTAGGGGCTATGAAAGTAGCCCCAGGAGAAGAGTGGGGAAATTCCATGTTCCCCCCTTCACTGCAGAAGTAGGGGTGAAGGAGCGTTGCTGTGAAATGCCATCCACACGTTGGCTCCTCTCACTGCCTTTTACATTTTCTGTTAAAATCTCTGACACAAGGGATGGCTCACTGGGGCAGGAGAGGGAGGATAGCTTGAGAATGAAAGGCATCAACAGAGAGAAAATGGAAAAGGAAAAGGGAGGGGGTGCCACTAACTCAACCTTAAAACAGCATCTCCAGTGACCCAGATGGATCTTTTGTAGGAGGCTTCCAATGGGACTCTTCACTAAGGTTCTGGGAGCCCACTCCCAGATCAGCGGAGTCACCAACTTCACCTCCTCCCTGTGCCTCAGCCCCTTGGCCAATCTTGGTCTTCCCCCCATCCATCCCCTTCTCTCCACTTCCTCAGCTCAGGCACCACCGGGCAATGATCTTGCCCGGATCATTGCAGCAGCTTTCTGATGACTTTCCCTGTCTCCGTGTCCAGCTTCCCAGCCACAGTCCTCCTTCACACCCTTATTGCAGATAAACTCACCGACTCACTGCTCCCTGAAGCTAACATTCCTTCTCCCACCTTTGTGCATTCACGCAGGCCTATTCCCCTCAGAATCTACAATCTGAGCCTTCCTTCAAGGCTCAGCTCTGTGGCCATCTCCTCTGGGAAGTCTTCCCTGATGCCTCCAGGAGTTCATCCTCTGTCCCTATCTTTCTAGAGGCTCTCTCCCCCCAATCCCACCAAAGAGAGGGGAGGGATAATCTCACTGTTGTCCCTGTATCCCTAACATTTAGCACAGTAGGAGTTTAATAAAGATTTGATTAATAGGGAAGGAAGGAAGAAGGAAAAGAGGGAGAGGAGAAATGAATGAAAAAGTCATAGTAAGTGTGTGGGACAGAAAGAGACAGAGAGATAGGGATAGAGACAGGCAGGGACAGACATGCCCATACCCATACAGGGGTGGGGGCAGGTCAATCAGTGAAAATGAGTAGGAGGGTGTAGTCAGTCTGGTAAAGTAGCAAGAGCCTTGTGCCTGAGAACTTCCTGGTCAAAGTCAGTCAGTCAGTCAGTCAGTCAGTCAACAAACACTGATTAAGCACCTACTATATGGCAGGCACTGTGCTAAGCTCTGAGGATAGAAAAAGTGGTAAAAGATAGTACCTGCCCTCAAGGAGCTCACAATCTAATGGGGAAGATAATATGCAAACAACTGTGTACACACAAGCTATAGACTAGATACAATGGAGATAACAGAGGGAAGGGGCAGGAAGCTTCTTGCAGAGGCGGGATTTTATCTGGGAGTCCAAAAAAGCCAGAAAAGTCAGTAGTCAGTAGATGGAGAGTATTCCCAGCAAGGGGATCAGCCAGAGATGAAGAGTCTTGTTTGAGGAACTGCCAGGCAGCCATTGTCACTGGATCAAAGAGAATGTTGGGGAGTAAGGTGAAAGAAGTCTGGAAAGGCAGGAGGGAGCAGATCATGAAGGGCTTTGAATGACAGATAAGTTTGTATTTGCTCCTGGAGGTAATAGGGAGCCACTGGAGTTCATTGAGTGGGGATGGGGTTGTGGTGATGTGGTTAGACCTGCACTTTAGGAAAATCACTTTGATGACTGAGTAGAGGATGGACTGGAGTGGAAAGAGACCTCAGGCAGGTATAACCCCCCAGCAACTACTGTAATAATCCAGGCATGAGGAGATGAGGGTCTGCACCATGGCAGGGGGCAATGTCAAAGGAGAGATGTGGCAGAGATGCAATTGACCAGAGATGCAGAAGAGGTGAAAGCTATCAGAGATGTGGTGGGGAAGGGTGGGGGGGAGGTGTGTGTGTGTGAAATGGTCCAGAGAAATGGCAGGGGTGAAATGGACCAGAGATGTGGCAGGGGGTGAAATGGAC